TCCATACACATATCCCGTTATACTACCTATTGGAATAATACGCAATTTTCGACCAGCGCGAAAAAAAAAAAATAAATCACGCTGCAGGCCAAATGAGCAGTCGTCGCTGCGACGCTGGCCAAAGAAAGGAGCAATCACTCCAAGTGTGCGGCCCATGGTCCTGGCCAGCTGCAGAACGCGTCCTGTCATGCCCGCTGGGCTGGGCTGGGCTGGGCTCGGCTCGACKTGGCTAGGCAGGGAAAGGCAGCGCTCTCAGTCAGTCAGGCAGTCGTCCAGTTGGCCACGTGCCGTCGCGTGTTATATCATTCATACGTCATTACAGGCCACGTGCACAGCGCCTTGCTGTTGTTATTGTAGGCAGTTTGTTTTTGTTGCATAGACACAGGCGCGTAATATTAGCTACAATCTCACTCTGCCTCTCTACCTCCCTCCCACACGTCTCTCTGTCACTCTCTCTCTCTCTTTCGCTCTGTTGCTTTATTGAGCTTGAGAAAACAAATCGCAGCGTTGATTGCGTTTCTTATTAACTGCAAATGTTGGTGGTTGCCCCAGTCAGACAATATGCTGACTGTCAAGCAACCTTTGCCAGCCGCTGCACCACCCTGCCCCCCGCTCTGCCCTGTCCTGTCCTTCCCCCACTATTTTCATGTCATGTTTGTCTTGACGCTCCGCTGACTTCTTCTGGCTGCACACAAACAAATGGAACACGAACCTTCGATGCATTCGACGTAGTTGTGGCGCTGGTGGTTGGCCTTAAGATGACGCATTAGAGCGCCTCGACCCGCACCACACCGTGAGGGCGTGGCACTTTTGGCGACTTAGCAACCGCGACGTCAGTGCGCGAGAGAGGGAGGAGGAGGGGCGGCACGGCACGGGCTTTGGCTTTGCATGCAAAATGGCGGAAACAGCGCCACAAAAGAAATTAATTTAAAGTTTTCGCCACAGAGCGTGAAAATGAAATTACATAATGAATGCAATTAAAATACCAGCTAAATTTCGCACAGCCAACACACACACACACGCACACACCTACACAGTCACCCATTCACACGCACATACAGTTGGCGCAAACATTTTAGCCAACTTAACTGGATTTGGTCTACTTCAGACGGCTCCCGGCTACGCCTTTGCCTTTGCCTGCCAAGAACAGCAAATTGCTATTTAGCCATTTTAGATTCCATTAGCAAGAGTTCGCACATACACACTTACACACACACACACGCACTTGTAGACAAACGTATTTAGTTACGAGGGAAGCTTAAAGAGTATGATTTATATTTAGTATATAAAAAGTCTAAGAGACTTAAATAGACCATTTCGAAAGGAAGAGCTGCAAAAGCCTTATACTCGTTCAGGCAGTGAAAAGAGTATATTAGTTTTAGACTATGCCTGCCCGGCACAAAGTCAATATGTCTGTCAATCTTTATGTATGCCTGTCTGTATATATACAAATGTCTTCGGCTTAAAAATATTCAGATATATTATTAAACATTCATTTAAATTATTATCAAATTTTTATAATTATAAAATTTTTCTGTAAAATATTGATAATTTTAGTTCTTTATATTTTTATTATCTAAAAGTCAATATGTCTGTCAATCTTTATGTATGCCTGTCTGTATATATACAAATGTCTTCGGCTTAAAAATATTCAGATATATTATTAAACATTCATTTAAATTA